ACTTAGAGCTCATTGCCTAGAAACCATGACCTTCACATTTTTTGACTGCGATGATTTCAATTCAATCTCGTGTAATTTTGACTCCTCAACTAGCGGGTTCACCATTTTTCACACTAATATTCGTAGTGCTAGGAAGTACTGGGAGCAATTTGGTCTTATAGCCAGTTCCCTGTACGATCTTGTCGACGTGTGGGTCTTAACGGAGATAAATGTACCAGCTGCTTCTGTTGATCAATTCTCAATACCTGGTTATCAGCAATTCTTCCATACTCGCTCTGACAGGACAGGTGGAGGTATTGGGATTTTTGTCAAAGATACATGGGGAACAGAACAGTTAAAAAATACTTTCGTTCATGCAGAGTCTGTCACTTTCAAAATTTTCAACTCAGTATACTCTATTGCATTAGTCGCCTGCTATCGCCCTCCATCAGAAAGCGCTTCGTCTTTTTTAGTTGAATTGAGAGCTTGCTTGACTGACCTTCAGGCCGAGGAACAACTTTGCGTAGTCGGCGACATGAACCTTGACACTTTGAAACCCACAAAGTCAACCGTATGTGACTACTTGAATCTGCTCTCAGAATTTGGTCTCAACTGTACAATTCAAGCACCTACCAGAGAGGAAACTTTGAATGAACACCTTGTTTCTGCTTGTCTAGACCACATGAATATACGCACTCACGGCCTTTCAGTTAAGTCTGCTGTCATTTCGCAGAAACTCGCAGATCACTACTTTACCGCAGTTCAACTGGTTTCCGATACGCCTCTAAGACACGCCTGTCCGGAAACAAGACTTATAGAGGTTGTCAATCGGAAATTATTCGACAAATTAATTTCTTCTTATGATTGGGGACGTTTACTAACATATTCAAATCAAGAACTCTACACGAAGTTTATTAATCTTTGGCAGACTTTTACAAAATGCAGTAAAAAAATAATTACTATCAGAAAGAGGCGTGCGGAACATATATGGTTGAATAATGACATTATTGCCGCGATTAAGTATAAAGAGATATTGTGGACGCGTTGTCGTCGCTCTCCCGATAACATAGACCTGCGGAATGAATTCCGAAGTGAGCGCAACAAAGTCACTGCATTAATTCGCTCCGCTAAACGTAACTATATTAAACAGAAGTTAATAGATTCCCGCTATGATTCCCGTGTAACTTGGTCTGTTGTAAACGATTTACGAGGAGGCCACAGCGCGAAACATTCTGTCGACGAGACGATCACCAGATATTTCCCTTGTAACAAACAGTCCACGGCAAATGCGTTTAATGTACATTTTGGGAAAACTTCAAATGTTTCACGCGATAGTGAAGTTTGCCTCTCAAAAGCAGCTCCGGTGAATGTAGCGTCTGCCTTCCTTCCTGAAATTACAGAGCAAGGTCTACATAGTATGTTGCTTAGTTTCAAACCGGGTTTGTCTCCTGGAATTGATAACGTCCGGATGGCTGATTTGCGGAGAAATTATGCACCATTGAGGCATGTGATACTAAATATGTTAAACGGCTTCATAACGTCAGGTAATATTCCAGAAGATCTCAAAACAGCCATTGTCAGGCCTTTATACAAAAATGGGGATCATAGTAGCATCGAAAGCTACCGTCCTATATCTATCTTGCCTTCACTAGCGAAACTTTTAGAAAAACACATTTTCCAAACAATGTCAGCGTTCTTAGAAGAATTTAACCTTATGTCTCCCCAACAGTACGGTTTCGTTATGGGTAAAGGCACCCAACCCTTACTTGAAGACTTTTCCGATGTTCTTCATAATGCATTTGAACATAATCTTTTCACGTGTGCACTCTTTCTAGATATTTCTAAAGCTTTCGACTCAGTCTCACATAAGGTACTTTTAAATAAGCTCTTCAGCCTCGGCTTCAGAGGCCCTTTTTACAGACTGCTAGAAAACTTTCTGTCAAGTCGTACACAACTCGTTTCAATATGCGGAGCTCGGAGTTTGAAAATGTCCCTAAAGGCTGGTGTTCCACAGGGCTCGATACTATCGCCTCTTCTTTTTAACATCTATGTCAATGATCTTCCGAAGGCGGTCAACTTCTGCACAGTATTTCAATACGCAGACGATACTGTCCTGTTGTCGAGTCATGTACGATACCATGAGGCTGTTGAGCTACTCCAATCAGATGTATTACGGCTCATGAACTGGTTTTCAGCAAATGTAATTAGAGTAAACGCGAAGAAAACACAACTAGTGTGCTTTCGTAGTCCACTAAAACAAGTTCTTTTAGACAAACCAATTTTTCTTCACACGTCAGACTGTGTTTCTTGCGAATGTGCGCCAATTGTTTATGTGAACTGTACGAAATATCTGGGACTTTATTTTGATTGCGACCTGTCATGGAACTCTCACTTCTTCTATATTTTCAAAAAAATACGAGCCGCTTCGTGCACCTTATATAATCTTCGCATACTTCTTCCCATCACAACAAAAAGACTTCTGACGCACGCCCTTGTTTATAGTATTCTCCGTTACGGAATAACTTTATTCGGACAGTGTACAGCCTTATTAGAATCTAAAGTGAACTCCTTACTAAATGGCATCCTGCGTAGTGTAGCTTACGGTTCTAGTTTCCAAAGATCTGATAACCTCTTTAATGACCTCTCGCTACCAACTTTTAAATCACTATTTTTGGAAACAGTAGTGCTGAGGCACTACTGGGATAACACTTTTAAGACCCCCAACACTGTCTGTCGTGCCCTTCGAGACGTGAGACCATATCAAACGCCACGCATCAAAACACATTTTGGAAAATGCGTTCGCCTCTATTATGTATCCCATATTTTTAACAACCTCCCTTCTGTGCTACTCGACGTAAGTTCTCGAGGAGCTTTGAAACGTAGATTGAAGACTCTTTGCCTAGACATCATTTTTTAAAGTGCCGATTAATTTTTTTTGTTTTCATTTTGTTTTCTACTTGATGTGATTTCTGTGCGCTGTGCACTACTCCCCTGTTTGTATATATTTCTCTCTGTCACGCGTTCTAGATCTCTGAAGTGTTTATACTAACTTGCTTTGAGTGTGCCTTAAGTAACTCGTAAGGAACTAGTCCTACAAGCCTTTAGGGCTTTGACGGTTCCGATATGTGTATATAGTTCTATTTGAAGCACCTGCATTAAATATTATTATTATTATTATTATTATTATTATTGACTCTATTTGACTCTATTAGTCACAAGGTGCTTTTGAAAAAAGTGTTCGATTATGGTTTCAGAGGGCCTTTTTTTCACCTTCTCAGGGATTTTTTGACACAGAGGTCACAACAAGTTTCGATTTGCGGTATAAAGAGCACAAGGGCGATTTTGAGATCCGGTGTTCCACAAGGTTCCGTGTTATCCCCACTTCTGTTTAATCTTTACGTGAATGAGCTCGCTAAAACTATATCGGGCTGCGAAATGTTTCAATACGCGTATGATACCCTGCTAGTGTCACGACATATAAACCTTCACAGTGCAACTAGTTTGCTGCAAGCTGATGCAATTCGTGCTATGGATTGGTTTGAAGCAAATATAATTAATGTTAACGTTCATAAGACAAAACTTATCTGCTTCGCTAATCCATTAAAGCGCAAATGTCTAGATATTCCCTTTTTATTGCACCCATCAAATTGTGAGCACTGCAGGTGTTCACCTATCGAATATGTTAATACAACCAAGTACCTCGGAATATATTTTGACAATGATTTATCTTGGAACTCTCACCTTACATATGTAGCTAAAAAGCTCCGAAGTATATCGTGCATGTTATACTCAACCAAAACCTTTCTTCCAATTTCAGTCAGAAAAATGATCGTAAATGCCTTGGCTTACGGCCTCCTACGTTATGGGATAACTCTGTATGCCAATTGTTCCTTATTTTGGCAGAGTAAAATTGATAGTATTTTAAGAGGAATTTTGAAAAGTGTCGCGTACAGCCCTACAGGTGTGCCAAGTGGCCAGTTGTTTTCATACCTATGCCTCCCGAGTTTCTATGCGCTTTTCAAAAGATGTGTGATTTCTAAGCACTACTGGCAGAGTCCTTACAAGATTCCTCGTGTCGCCCAACGTACCCTAAGGGAGGGCGAGCGTTTCGCGGTGCCACGTGTGTGCACGAGGTACGGAGAGCGACTGCGCTCTTACTATGGGCCTCAACTTTTTAACGGTTTGCCTCCCTTGTTTTTCCACGCCAGCTCAAGGCGTCAATTGAAAAGGCTTTTAAATAGCGTTTGTTAATGCTCTGCTCTCTCAGATCGAGTTTAGCCGTGTTTCGTCGCGCACTGGGCTGGGCTGGTGCCGGGGTTGCGGGCCGCTGGGTCCGGCTGCTGGCGGGCCTGGGGTCACGTAGTGGCTGCTTCGCCATGTAACTATCGGCGGAGCGGTTGCGGCGTGTTTGCGGGCTGGCTTGTGGTTGGATTTGGCGGCCCGTGGCACCGGCCTCCGGTACAGTTTGGGGTGAAACGGGGTATGTTTTCCGCGAATTTAACTCTCCCTCTGTCTGTCTTTGTGCGGCTGAGGATTTTGAAAGCGAAGGTTGATTCTTTTTTACTCCGGTTATTTATTTATTTATTCAGTTTGCCAACATGCTTTCGAACATGCTTTTGTTGTTTCTTTTTTCATCTTTTATTGTTGTCAATATGATCTATGCCGACGCAACAATTTATACTCTCGAATCTTAGTTCTGCGTTTGAGATGTGTGTTTGCCCATTTGCTTTTCCTCTTATGCTGTTATACATTTTTTTTGTTCATGAGAAGCGCTCTGTTGGGTTTTTATTTCTTACGTCATTAGTCATTTGTTTCGTGAGCTGCACTTCAGCTCCAAGACACCGTGTATGGTAGTCTGCATGTAACTTTTTGAATGTTTCTATGTACCACATTTCTACGCCACTGCCGGGTCCAGTCATACAAGCCGTTTTTGGCTTCGACGGACCCGCATACATGTATTGATCATGCAAAAGAGATGCAATAAAATTATTATTATTATTATTATTATTATTATTTTACAGTGACCTCAGGTACAACGAGATTGAAGCCATCACCTGGACCGCCATTGAAGGACTAGGCACTATTGAATTGTGAGTATCCTATTGAAGATTGGAATTCACTTTATCGTGGTGGAACCGAGGTCGTTTACCAGAGCTACAGTCACCGAGATCTTGACAAACTGAGAGCGAGGCTTATTCTCTTAGCGTCCCGTGTCTCGTGATTTATTATCCGGCGTTCTTATTGTCAAATGCGTCAACCTCATTGGCTTCGGCGCAATAGCCACGTATTTGCCGCGCCCTGCGTCTATTTAAGTCTGCTTGCAAACACTGAACCTCTTAAGCATGATCGAGAGCTCCGTGAGGAGCATGAAAGGCAGAAATTTCATTTAGGTTGAATTACGAGCCTTCGATGCGATTTCTGCTTTAAACAGAGCGTCGCAATCATACTTCATTAAAACAAGTTCTAAGCATTTTTTTGTTTTTGCTTTCTTTATTTTGGTTCTTGGTTTTTTTGCTTTCGTTCACTGCATATGGTAGTCTACTTATAAATGGGTATATTTTTGGTTATCATTGACGAATTTAATCATATGCTGACTTTTTTCATTCCCCGCGTTTCTTGTTTATTTTTTTTACCAGTACTTCATCGAGGCATTTACCTCAATTTTTTTTATTTCTCGCCTGTAATAATTTATGTTATACTAACATTTCCGTTTTCCCTTTACTTTGACCATTTATTGGGCAGCGTTTCATTTCATACAATTTGTTTGTTGTTGTTGTTGTTGTTGTCGTTGTTTTGTCTAAGACAGCGAGCTCCTCATTGAGGCCTTGTGTTAAGACAGAAGCTTGGGCGAATATGTGATTCATATTAGGAGCAACAGCACCATTGCTGGTAATATAAAAATTACTATGGGCCTTAATAAAACGAACCCTGGAAACAGGAAAGATCACCATGGAGGTGCGGGACAGCACTTCCTCAAAAAGAATGCACACTCGTAGTATGTGTCTGCTTGGAAGAGTGATGCGGTCAGATAAGAAAAACGCAATTATCTGTCAAAGAGTTTGTCGACCATGATGGCTCAGCCTACTCACAAACTTGATAGTGTGAAGAGGGGAAAAATAAGAGTTGTACTAAAGTAGAAGCTGTCTGAAAGATACAAAATAGAACGAAAAAAAAAAACAATTTGCAGAATACGTTCTTGGGTTTTCGTTCGCAGGTTGATTAGCGACAACGAGCTGGTGTGCAACTGCAGCGCCAAATGGATACAGATGAAAATTTTGCAGAACAGCCGAATCTTCGGCCCCTTGGGCAACAAGATCGAGTGTCAGCACCCCGACCAGCGCAGCCAGACGTCTCTTCTGTCCAGCTACACCATCGACGGATGTGGTAAGCGGGCCGGTTGCACCGATCGTTATCGGAGGCTTACTGGTGTCATGTCTCATTCACTGTCTAGGCAACACAGGTACCAGCATAAGGGACACTGAATAAATGTCTCGTCTAGTGCTGAAGAGGCGATGAACTGTGTCTTAAAGCAATAGCTTTATAGGGGTATAATTCACGGACAGCGTAAAAAACAAATCATGATTTGTTATGAAAAAAAAAAGATTAAATAAATCAAAGTCTTTATTTAAATAATATTAATTTGTTTTTAAATCGTTTAAGCTAGGAAATAGCGATTCTTCACCACAAAATGTGTTTCTCAACGTGCCAGATTCATTTATAAATTTGTCCAATCACTGCTAGCAATGCAGAAGAAAGAGTTATTGTAAATGTAAAATACAGTTTAGTTAGCAACCTTTTATTGGTGTAATTCCTGCAATACTAGGAAAAAAACAGTTTTCTTTATTTATTTTTTTTAGAGCTTTTGTTCGATTTTCCTTTCACGTTCTGATTTCATTGCAATAGGACATTCGTTTTCCATACCCCCTGTCAGTACTTGTGTGCAGTGCAGGCGAAGGCAACGCCAGGCGAAGAGAGAAAGGGAGAGCACTAGGAATGTGGAATAAGGGAGAGGAGGGCAGTGGAGGGCGAGGGGAGAAAGGAAGAGCACCAGGAACGTTAGAGAGGCGAGCAGCTTTCTCTCTTCCTCCCCAGCCTTCCTCGTGCTTGCCCTTTCGCCCTTTCCCTGGCGTTGCCTTCGCCCGTACTGTACGCAGCTAGTGACGCGGAGTATACAGCATTTCAACATTTACAAGTCCTTAGAACAGCACCTTAGACCAGCACGCGCGTGTTCGACACTTTGAAAAGCGAGCAAATCACGTGCCGTATGCACGAACACTAAAAATATAACCGCCAAGCTCTATTTTTTAAGGGTCTATCGGGAGCGCAAATTCGTCTGCTTCGTCTGCAGGGGTTGTGGTGACGTCAGAACGGCGAGCTCTGATTGGCTCTGATTGAAGGATAGTGGGTAGACCTGAAAGCAAGCTGCCTTGACGTCTACCCACTATCCTCCCATCAGAGCCAATCAGAGCTCGGCGTTCTGACGTCACCACAACCCCTGCAAACGAAGCAGACGATCCTTGCCATTTGCATAGTTTTTGCTTCTTTTGCGTTCTGATTTTGTTGCAGTAGGACGTTTCGTAGCCGACGAAAGAACTGGATGGTAGAAATCAAACTCAACGCTTCGATTTGTTCCGAAGAGCACTTCTTTTTAATCTTTTTTTATTTCTTTATTTCAAAATACTGCAAATCCTAATGGGATTTTTGCGGGTATTGGGACAAAAGAAATATACATCAAGAGGCAAATATCAATAAAACAAAGAGCAGAAATATCGCGTCATTCGTGTAACAGAAAAAAACATATCACTTCATAAATTCACAAAGTATTTGTTTTTCAACCGCGTCACTAAACAATTCAACAGTTGTACATCTAAAGAAGTGCTTATTTAAACTGTTCCAGTCTCTTGTGGCCGAAGGAAAAAATGAGTATTTAAAACTCTCGTCATCGAAGGAATACTCAAAGATTGTTTCGCTATTTACATGTCTAGCGGATCTCGTTTCCAGTCGCTTGGCGTTTTTATCTATTTTAAATGCAAAGTTTGAAAGGAAAAACATAAATTTCAGTCGACCGAGTTTTACACGATCAACGATAGTCAATGAACCAGCGGTCTTTAGTAATTCTGTTGGTAAATCGAAACGACTGTATTTGTGGTAAACAAATCTGACTTCCGTTCTCTGGACACTCTCTATAATACATATATTGTTTTGCTTATGTGGGAACCAGGTTTCCACTCACACGTGCTCAGACTTATGTAAATAATCTATCTTGTATTATGAATATTTTATACAAATAAAAAGCAAATGCACGTAGAAAGCATTAAATAATGGACAAGCGGTAAATACAAAATACTTCCGGTATTCCTTTTTTTTTTAATTATCATAGTAAAACTTAATAGTTTGGAGATCCGTACTGGAAGCTCCCGCGGTGCGCTTGCGACAACTGACTGCAACACCCCTGGCGAGCCTGGAATTTTAGCTAGCAGACGAACTCCTCGGAATACGTTGGCTGTGCCTACCTGCGCACGAGGCAACAACGAAAAAGCATCGCGAAGGTTTTATTTCGCTTTCATAGTTAAGACCTATTTACTATTTCACAAGTAAGGGATGTGTTGCCTTCAGTGAAAAAGTTTTTCTTTCTTTTTTTTTTTTTTTTTTGAAGAAGCAGTTATGTCTTTTTTTAGCCAAGAATCATTTGGATGTCACAGTTTATGTAAGGCATGGGAAACAAAAATCTATCTTTGCACCATTTCTTGACATACTTAAACATCTAAAACTCTCAAAACTTAGCTACGGCACAACTTATAGTGTTCCCATTAATCCATACGTCTTACCTTTGCTGATGACATTGCCATTTTCATGAATATCTTGCTCATACCTGTCTTGTCGAAAAAAACATTCAGACTAATCCTGCCGACACCATTCACAACTAAGAAAATAAAATGCAGCAGAAAACCTATCAAAATATATTCACTACCACAATGTCAACACGCTACGTGGAGACGATTGTGCATATAAAATCTGAGGTCATTACGGAAACTTCTTGTGCACGTTCACTTGATTGACAAAAAACGGATTGTAAAGAACATGTTCCCCTGCTCAAGCATGCGAGAAAAAAAATAGCGTTATAGCGTAAATAAAAAGTAAACTCGTTCGCGATAATAAAATGCATAGATTCAGTCGATGGCTAAAGGCTAAAACAGATGATGCGAAAAACACCTGATATACTGCGGAAACCGCAAAGGAAATTCGGATGGCAGCTAGGCTTTTCCCCTTTTGCGAAAATCGGAAACAATTTGAGAGACCTGGACTACCAGATATTTTATTTTTTTCGGACAGAGCCTCTATATTCAGGCGACTCGTTGCGAAAAAACATTAAGCTTTGCGAGTTCCTTGCAGGAAAAAAAAATGCCTCATGCGGCTCGTCTTCAGAAAATTGCGGAAAACAGCTTTAGAATAGTTCAATTTCCGTCCGATTCTCGGTCTACGTTTTCCGCATCATGTGTCCCAGCTTTCGATTCCTATACGCACGATAAATGCCAGCACTCGTTGCACGATCTCGCCGCTGAGCCTACCTTTCTAATTTTGCATCACTTCCTTTTTATTTATTTTATTTTTTGGTTCATACGTTGCTGGGCCACGGCGTCTATTCTTTACCCTGCCAATCTGTTGGTCCCTTTTTTTTTTGTCTACTTTTGCGCGGACCTTGTGTTATTACTTCGTTCATCCTTAAAGGGGTACGGAAACGAAATGACGTGAGCGCAAGCTTTCTACCGCTCGCTTCAAAGTCGGCTATCGAGAAGCGCAATGCGTATCGCGCTCGTGACGTCAATAGTCCATTCGCGGCCAAGGGGACTCTAGGTGTGATCCTTGTCGCTTGGCGGCGTAAACGCGTGACAATCTCGCCCAGTAGTAATATCCGAGGACTGTGTGCACTATGGCATAGCTTGCCCGTAACGTCAGTCGCGGCCATGCAGGAATTTTACGTGCTAGTTTCACACCAGAGTAGTAGTAGCTCGACGGATCCAATCAACAAGAAAAGCGTGTCTGTGTGGCGTAGTGGGTACCTTGTCTTGCTCACAACCGAAGAGTCGTGAGATCGAGCGCGCTCCGTCTAACATTTTTTTTTTTTTAATATTTTTCTTTATGGCAAATAACGTACTTATTGAACAATCAGGATTTCCCGGTGTCTCCGACACCGACGCCGGCTTTTCTGCGACCCGAGCTCCTTAAAGCTATCGTTTTAATAACTTTCAGTGCCATATTTGTTCACAAGGCTATCGCATTGCCTCACATCAAAAGTATTGAGAACATATTTCTACTAGGTAAAGCCTTCTTTCCGGTTTTCAGACGCGATCCAGTCGTATGTAATATTTTGAACGGCTTTGAGCCTACTTAATAGATAAATAGATATAGGTTTTTATGCGCGCTATAATCTGATTGTTGTGCCTTTCTTCTTTCGCTCCTTTTCTTTCTCTCAGCAGGTGTTTTCATTGTTTGTTTGTTTTTTTTTCATTTTCATTTTTCTCTCTTTTTTATTTTCCGTCTAATTCTCTAGCTTATATTACCCATTAAAGAGGCTGAATATTGTCTATCAAAGTGTTTGATGTTGTCTATGAAACTGGGTAAGGAGACGTTATTACGGAGAGGGTCGTGATAAACTTCGATCGCCCACCGACGAGCAAAGATGGGACCTCCAGGAAAAAAACTTGCATGCCCTCTCTGAAGGAGCCAGCGGAGCTGTTTCTGTCTGAGCCACCCTGTTTATTTACAGAGTCGACCGCTGAGGCCCCGAGAAATATCGGCGCCCTGAGAAAGAGCACGTGTGCTGTGTATGCTGTGCTCTCTTAACACACACACACACACACACACACACACACACACACACACACACACACACACACTTGCTGCGGGTTAGTTTTGCCGTTCTAATTTCGACTGACGGTTAGCAAGCAGTCCGGTGAGAACCCTCGATACACTCTGAGCCCATGATCTCGCCTGTGATTTGATTCGCGTGTTTGAAGGGCGGCGGCGATCTCATTAAACGCTGCAGGCCTAAAAAAATGGCAGAAGGCAAGCTTTTGTATACTGAATTATTCAGTGAAAAAGCAAGCAAACTAGACGTTAGATGGTATCATGAGGTATGTATGTCGTACTATGGCGACTCTGGTTCACGCTGCTGATAAAACATTTAGCGAGTGCATTACGGCTTCTAGGCAGCGGTATTTCACGTGCCTCGCGCAACCCGGAGTGTCCACACATCGGTAAGGTGATCAATAAGATCGAAAGGAGCAGGACTTGGAATTGATCCCATAGAACCCATAGATCCCAGGATCTGTGAGTTCTCCAGCAGTAGCTTCCAGAGTTGCGGTGTGCTAACACAACCGCCG